TTCACTTATATTCCTCTCTAGATTGTGTATTCTCGTTAGGATTTAGTCAAACATAAGGTTCTTAGTTTCTTTACATTGGGCTAGAACATGTTCTTTTAACTCACAGAAGTTTCTTATTATCCACCTTCTGAAGCCTAATTCTGTTATTGGTACGCACTTGTTCTCCATCAGGCCTTGTTTCCTTGTTGATGAGGAAGTGTGATTCCCTGTAGAGGGAGAGGCATTCTGATCTTGGGTATTCTCAGCCTTTTTACTCTGGTGTCTTCCCATCATTGTAAATTTATCCACCTGTCGTCTTTGTAATTACCGACTTTCCTATTAGGTCTCTGAGTGGACGTCCAACTTGTTGATTCCCAGTGCCAGAATCTGAGCAACCATGGCACTGGCTAAAACAGCAGCATTAAGATTCATGGTGCTTTTCTGCCCGGGAATCTCCAGTCTGGCTTCCTTCTTGAGTCCCTTTTTCAATCAGCTGAATAGGCGACTCTGCTTTCCCGGAGCTCCAAACATCGACCAAAAGGGGACCCAGACCCGTTTACTCTGCACCAAGAACCGCCGCGCCAGCCGCAAGAGTAGCTCTGGCGACCTGTGGGGCTCCTCTGCTGGGAATCTCCTGGTCTGTGAGCAACAAAAATTTGTCTGAAAGTGTGGTGTCCTCTCGTTACCTGCGCTTTCACTGGGAGCTACAATCCTGAGCTGCTAGTAATCAGCCATCTTGGATCCTATTTTTTTTTTGGAGATGGGGTTTCACCACGTTGGTCAGGCTAGTCTTGAACTCCTGACCTCAGGTGATCCAACTGCCCTGGCCTTCTAAGTGTTTGGATTACAGGTGTGAGCCACCACGCTCGGCCTAGTTATTGAATTTTAAAGTGTTCTAGTGGCATTTTTTAATTGTAAAAAGCTTCTCTAATTCTGTAAGAGCAGGCAATCATAGTTTCTTTGTATTTAAAAGGTGAAATAAGTAAATTTTATTTAGTTAAGGTTAATGTCTTAAAAGCCTGGAAACCTCACAAACTAGACCTGAATGAAAGATAAAAAGGAATATCAACAGTGTCACTGTGTTATAGGAAGAAAATGTATTGAATCTGCTTATACTTGCTAAGATGCCTTAAGGATCCTTATACTTCACATATGGATGGCAAAAGAGGGCCAAAAATAGATATGGAGATAATCCAGATAATCGTCAAGTATATTTAAGAATAGCATCAACTTTGGCCATTGTAGTTGTTATAAAATAAAAATATGACAGCTTTCTGGATATTACATATATCCAGATTATATTTTATATATATTAATGTTTGCCGACATTTCAATATATACTAAAGTCTGAAATGTTTCATCAAAACATTTAATACATGTAAAATATATATAAAGTTAAATACAGTAAAATCAAAATAATGTGGAAACTAGAATCTACTTGACATAGCTCCCTAGCAAGATAGTGTTTTTTTTTTTAACTATACAGTATTATACAAATGGCTTGTTGCTGCATATATTCTGTACATGCCATGGCTATGTCTACAAATATGAAACAGCTGGAATAAAACTGAAAAATCTAAACAGCGAAGATGTTTTTATGTAGTTGTATGTAAGATTACCATGTTGACAAAATAGCCAGATAATAACTAAGTTTTTCAAACTCAAGATTGTGTTGTCTTATAGGTATAACCTTTGTTCTGTTTGTTACAGATTATAAGTCTATGTTACATAAGTGTGTGAATGAATAAAGGAAACATTTATTTATTTTGTCCCGCACCTCCAATGTTCTGATTACTAAGATTTCTTTAATTCTCTTAAAAAAGCAGAAACATTTAACCTTAAGCACATCCAAACCCTCATATTTGTTACCAGATCACATATGGGTCTAGTTGTTTTTTATTATTGGACAAAATAGTTATCATCCAAGATTCTACTTAACAGAATCAGTAGAGGAAGGTGGAGTAAGGATTGAATCCTCTGCTCTAAAATCTTTTCTAGGATGAAAGTGTGGGCTTTGAGAATATCAAGGTTTCAAACCCACAAATGAAGTCTGGGGAAAGCTTCTTCTTACAGAATGTAACCTTGGTTCCTAGTAAGAGATTTAAAGAACATTAAGGTTTTAATGTATTTTAAGTAGTTCTAATTTTATAATTACTTAAGGAAGCGATTAAAAAAATCAGATTAACTGGGCCTGGATGCTGTGGAGAGAAGTTGTGTTTTAGGAAATTTCCACTAGAAAAAGTAGGTGACCTTATAACCTGCTGCTGGACAGGAAGGCATTCTAGGGCTATAAAAAGAGACTCACTTCAAGGGATCTGAGAATAGCCATATCCAATAGTATTTCTAAATTACTAGGTTATGCTTCCTTTCTGTCATCCCTGAACTTTGGTAAAGATTTGTTGAAAAAAAGATTTATGAGCTTACAATATACAGAATTGAGATCAGATCCGATAGGTAATAAAGCAACTATCCAGAGAAAATCAGAGAATTATTAATATACTACTTCATGTTAATAGGATAACATTCTGTTATGTAAAACAAGCAACGAATTAGACTGTGTTCCAACAAATGACTTTTATTCAATTCACTGCTGAACATAAGAATCCTTTGAGATATTGCTTTGCTCAAGAAACTGAGAATAGGAAATTTCAGTGAAGGCATCCATTATGAATAAATGCCTACTTTAGGGGTCAAGATGTAACCAAATCCTTTTACCTAAAAATCTTATAATTTTCCCTGCCTTTAAATGATTTGCGTTTTTGAGTTCTGTATATTGTAAGCTCATAAATGATTTGAGTTTGAAAAACTGTGATTGAAGAAGAATGCAAATATCAAAGTGGTGGGGTTAACCTCATAAAACGGAATAAAACTTTTGAAGTAGCATTTAGGCCAAATCAGCTCCTCAGCCTGCATCTAACAACAGTGATTTAATAATAAGTGTTCTGTTAGTTTTTTGAAAAACTTAAGTAGGGACTTAAGGGAAATGAGCTAAAGATTCTAAGGTAAAAGGGAAAATTTTTGTAAAGTGGTATGTTTGATTATATATCATTGTAATTTCCATGACTTGGGTACATAGGCCACTCTGCTGACTTACCAAAACATTGAGCATGTCTACCAACAATCAAACAATTTGCCACTGCTGGAATAAGTATCAGGAGTAAGTCATAATAACAATGGATAACTTCTTTTTTTTTTTTGAGATGGAGTTTCGCTCTTCTTACCCAGGCTGGAGTGCAATGGCGCGACCTCGGCTCACAGCAAGCTCCGCCTCCTGGGTTCAGGCAATTCTCCTGCCTCAGCCTCCTGAGTAGCTGGGATTACGGGCACACACCACCGTGCCCAGCTAATTTTTTGTATTTTTAGTAGAGACGGGGTTTCACCGTGTTGACCAGGATGGTCTCGATCTCTTGACCTTGTGATCCACCCGCCTCGGCCTCCCAAAGTGCTGGGATTACAGGCTTGAGCCACTGCGCCCAGCCAAAACAATGGATAACTTCTTAAGGCATATAAGACCTAGATACCTCTAGGGCTAAAAGTGTTTTAAATTGTGCAATTGCACAGAGTTTATTCTTACCAAGTACCTTACAGCAATATGAATAAGCTCTCTGTGTAACTGCACAGTTATCACTTGTGAAATTATAGTCTTCCAACTAGGAAAGAAACACATTTATGATGCATTTTAACAATAAGTTAAAGGCAGTTTATCAAAATCAGTGTTGTGAAAAAAATTCACTCTAATGACATGAGACTATATTTAATGTTAGGCACTGCTATAATTTTTGAGCTAAAAATACTTCAGTGGACAATGATAATAATGACCCATTTATCTTAGAGCCACATCAAGTTTTATCAGCATAAAAAGTCTAGTATCTGTCATTAGGATGTTAAAAGGAAAACTAAACTAGAATAACCATTTCCCAAAATAGCAAATTCTACATGGAGGGCCTGTACTAAGACTGATACATGCCTACATTGGGCAATTAGCAAGAAGAAGAGAAAGGAAGAAAGAAGAAAAATGACATTTATTTTTGGTGAACTTTATGCTTTCATAAGCAGTGGAAATGTACCATATTCCCAATATATAAAGAGGAGATGACATAGCCTATAAGTATCCATTTGCTATGGCAGGGCTTAAAGTTTTTCTGGGATACTTTATACGTTCTTTCTTCTTGTGTTGTGTTCCTTCTTATATTTCCCAGAATGCTGACTTGCACAATGTTTTTAAAGAAAATTAAATTCTAGGGTAATTTATTTCTATTACTTCGGTTAGAAAACTGGTTCATATTTAGGTTACTTGATAAAAGCATGGTTAAACTGTTTTATGTTTATCACAATTTGTTTCTTAGAAGTGAAATATTTTCTGATTCAGACTCCCAGATGCTGAATGGATTAGGACAGACATTTATTTGAGTTAGATTTAATTTTGGTGATTCAATGAAAGATGGTCCATAACTCTTGGGTGGGATAAAAATTATTTTTGAAAAGCATTGTGTTAAGGAACTTCCCTCTTGCCCTGCCCACCCTCCTCCCGCCTCCACTCCCCAGAAATCACTTGTTTCCTATTAGTAACAAAAAAGATCTGAGTTCTAACACTTAATAGTAATGTCACCTTGGGCAATTCTCTTAACCGTTCTGAGCTTCACTTCTCTCATAAAGAAGTGCCTGATTATCTCACAAAAATATTGAGTGGATAAAATGAGACAATGCATGTGAAGTGCTTGCAAATTGTAAGGTGCTATAGAAATAAAAGGTATTACTCTTGTTTTGAAACAATAAAGTCAGCAAAATGTGGTATTTTAAGCAGGACTTTATGGCACATCATCAACAAAGTTAATACCATTTTTACTTGGAATATTATCATGGACTTTGAACAATCTTTAATCATTAAAAAAAAACCTTTTCTGTAGAACAGTGAAAACAGGTTAAGTTACCAAAATTTCAAGACTAGTATCTTAAGACTATTCCATAGGTATAGATTCTGTTTCTTCATATATAAACTGAGGGATAATAGAATCTCTGAGATTTATTTGAGTCCTTAAATTATATAATTCTATGATTTCATATTTATGACATAGGAAAATAGGCTTGTATCTAAACCTAAGTCGGTCTGTCTGTATAGCTGTATCACTGGCTAAACTGGCAACCATAAAGCTTCAAGGATTAAAGTAATAAAGCAGTCCAGGCCTAGGCCCTATAGCTTAGTTCCTTCTTAGACCATACTTTTTGATCCTGATTTAATGTTACATTTATTGTGTAATATATTAATAGGGTTAGCTATATTCCAATTTCCCTGAGACAGTCTAGGCTTACGCTTACTGTATTACTGGAATTTTAGTTTTGGAAAACAGTTTTTGAATAGAATGATTTTATAGGCTTATTAATTTGGCAAACTTTGTTGGCCAATGAACACATATTTCAAAAATCATAATTTTAATTATTTTTGGTGCCCCGTTTCCCTCTTAAGTGTTCATATTTGGATGATAAGTAGATGATTACCCCATGTAAGATCTCTGAGCAGAGATCAGCAAAGTCAAGAACTGTCTATTACAAGGATCAGAAGTTAAAGTGGAATTTGATATGACTAATGAAACATCAGAGGACCTCTTCTATAGGTGAATCACCGTGATTTCTATAAAGATAATAAAAATCAAGTCTGCTGCTCATCAATGCAGGTGAGAGTGAGATTCAAGAGGAAATATGTGTTGTAGAATAAGGACTCCTAATTCTGAATCCTTATAATGTTTCAGAGAAAGTTAAACTAATAATTACATTGGAACTTGGCACATATCTAAAGTTGTAATCAGTTCTGAAAAAAGATGTAGTTATGCTACTACACATGATCCTAATCAGACAGAACATAATTGTAAGTCTGTCTTACTGTAATAGAATGGACTGCCCTTTATTAACAATAAAGACGAGATTCTTTTGAAACTGCATGACCTGAGATTAAATCATGTCAGTAAAAACTATATTGTCACTTACCTTTAGCTATCATGTATGAAGACGTTTGGTTTGAAGGATGTTTAATGAGAAAAGACCAACTGGATGATTTATGTGAAGTAATGACATTTAGAATGAATTCTGGATGTTTCTCCAAATAATTCATCATTTAGAAGAAAATAAGGGAAGCTGAAATCTCTATAATGGATATACAAAATTTAAGCAAAGGTGACGGTGTTTTAGAAAGTAATTTTCAAGAAGCAAGTGAATAGATTAAATGAGTTGTATACAGTGTTGGGTTTATATCCCAAATCAAAGTTTGAATCTTAAAAAATAGTGTTTAGCTTCAAAAAGTCCCATTAAAAAACCAACCATAATATCCTTTCTTCAGCTTTCTAAACTTTTTTCATATCATGGCATAACCATAATATTCACCTGGCACACTTGGGTTAACAAAGGAGGCTGTGTGTACTGAAGGTGATGTGAAAAGATGTCCTGAATTCTCCATTGCTATTTTTAATACAGTTACTAAGATAACAAAGTCATTTATTCACTGGGGGGCAGGGAGAAGAAGTTAAATAAATAATGCTTTAGATAACCAATACGAATACTTAAACTCCAGTTCTGTAGGAAACCACCAGTTCAACATTTGATGCAAGACAAACTAAACCTTAATGAGGAATTCAGAATTTTATATTTATCAAAAATCAGATGTTGGTCAGTTTCCCTCCAAACTAGAAATAAGTCCACAGAATTCTGATCCATGAATTCTAATTTGTCAGTTGCTTTTTATGATACCTTCACAAAGGGATGGAATGATAGCTAATAGATAAAGCTGCAAAAACTCACCTGTTAAAAAATTAGAACCTGTCTCTAGCCTCAGATTCCCAGTCCAGACAACTAGAATAGGTGCCACACTACTTGTTAATAAGTAATATTACAATAATACTGTCTGTTCTAATTAATATGTTTTCTCTATTATTCTTTATATCTATGCATGTATGTATGCATATATTTGTGTATATATATATATATATATATATATATAATATAGTGGTTTAAAAGCTCTAGTCAGCAAGGTATTTCTATAATATAAAAGGACTTCACTATATAGTATCACAAAGCCTCAAGTTTCAGATGATTATATTCCATTAGATTAAAAAAAAACCCAGAATGATGACATGCGCAATTGTACCCCAAAGGGCATCTGAAATTCAAATACTATGAGATATTGAAGGATGAATTTAGAAATATTTTTATCTCAAATGCTTCATGAGCAAAAGTAAAGCCACTATTAACGTAAATACCACGAGTCCCGTTTGATGGAGAAAATACTTTACTGAGATAACTCATAGAATATATGATAGACTCAGCCTTCACAAATAGAAATCAACTAAATTGCAGTAAAAAAATGTCAGTATTTTATCCTTAACTAGGGTTGTACCTGTGAAATCCTTCCAGGCAAACAGGACAGCTTTTTTGAAATAAAGAAGAAAATACAGATGTACAAAAGATTTGTTTTAACTAACATATCCTTGCTAGTTTCGTCTGATCTTTAGGATTTAGTAACAAAGGTAATTCTCTGATCATCATCTTTTAAATTTTTCTCTTATAATATGTAAAGCAAAATTAATAGAAAATTAAAAGGATATAACACTCCATGTTCAAGCAAAAACTATTGTGGTTCTCTTTTTTCATACTTCTAAAATGCTTGCTCTGTTATTATTAGGAACCGTTGTGAAAACCTTGGAGCTTTAAGAATATACCAGTGGGTTTAGAAATGAAAGAAAATAGCTGTGAAAACTAAGAATGACATTCTTAAGTATGATTTATCTACATTTGAGCTGGATTCCTTAGCCAAACATCTTTCCCATTATATTGTCTGAAATGTTTTCGTGTTGCGTTATACTACTGGAAATTCTACCAAACTGGATTTAAGTCTTTTGGGTTAATAGGCATTCTCTTTTATCCTTTTCTTAGGGAAGTCAAGGGAAGGAAAGATACTTTTATCTCTTTTGCCTTTATTTTTCAAATCTAGAATTCCAGTTAGTATGATTAGATTATATATTTAGGTTAATATAGACTTTTGTGAAAATATCCTTTGGATTTAAATATCATCTGTGATATGCTTAGTACTGGACAAAACTCTTACAAAATTAAAAATGCTTAATTGCATTTTTTTCTTTAAGTGTAGAATTTTATTTGAAAATGAAAGCAGAGATGACAGCACATACATAAGGGCTACATAATGAATATCCTTAAGCCCTATCATTTTTAGTCAAGGAGGTTAACTGAATTTAGTGAGTAATAAAAGACTCAGAGTCTCTAGAAATTTGGAAACATTATACCCAAACAGAAAATAGAGGTCCTCCATAATAAGGCTAGTAGCCGGAAAGGGGAGAAGCCCAGAATGAAGGGAGGTCTTTCTCACTGACAGCACATCAGTTTAAAAAAAAAACTGATCCAAACAAGGGTATAGTATTTGGAGAACAAGTTGGAGAAGAGATATTCTGGTGGGTAGACAGGAAAGGCTTCCCAGATTGAAAGAGAACAACTAAGGCACAGTGCAGTGACTCAACACCTGTAAATCCCAGCACTTTGGGAGGCTGAGGTGGGAGGATCTCCTGAGCCCAGGAGTTCAAGACAAGCCTGGGAAACCTAATGAGACCTCATTTCTACAAAAAAAAAATTTAAGAAATTGACAGGTATAGTAACGTTGGTACATGTCTGTAGTCCTAGCTACTCTGGAGGCTGAGGCGGGAAAATTGCTTAGTCCAGGAGTTTGAGGTTGCAGTGAGCTACGATCGTGTTGGCCTGGACAAGAGAGAGAGACACTATCCCCCACACCATCCTTCCCAGTCCTCTTCAAAAAAAAAAAAAGAAAGGGCAACTAATAGGCTTATGGAACTCATGAGATAGAACAAGTAGAGTTTAATTTCCAGCTTGAAATTTTCTGAGGGGAAAACTTTTTAAAGGATTAAAAGCTACCAAAGACAAAGGTATAGAGAGAATGCCACAAAACTGGTCAGTGGTTAGTAAAGGGAAAAAATAAATATTAAGAAGTTAGGAACAGTTGCTTTGAAGGCTTTATACCTCTGGAAAGAAACTTGACTCATTATAAGACAAAATAACAAAACAAAAACTATCATCTTTTAAAACAACAATTTTTCCCAGGAAATAAAAACTCTTAGAGAAATGGAGAAAGAAAAAAGTACAAGTCTAATCAAAGAACTTTCTTCTTAGACATTTTCTCTTTAGGCCTAAGGGTACCAGAATCTTACAGGTATATTCCAAGAAGTGTGAGGATCTAGGTCCCCCAGAGTTTCTCTGATGAACAACCACCAACTGTTGCTCATCTCCTGAAGTGAGAAAACTCTTAACAGGGGAGGAAATGAGGGGCCTTGGTCTCTAAGAATAGAGAGGCCACTTCTCACACTCCTGTGTTTCAAAGGGAAGAGTAAGTCCAACAAAAAGCAGCCACTGTAGCTGCTAATCAGAGAGTGGTATTCAACATGGAAGGACAAAGCTGATGCCATATTTTTAAAGGACTTATGTACAGGATTAGAAACACTGAATAGAGTTGAAACAAACAGCACCAATTATAAATATTATTTATATGCATCCTTTGGGTAAACATTTCCCCTTTGCCACTTTTAAGGGATTCTATAGGGATTTCAGGAGAAATTGGAGTTAAACTATAAGTCTAGAGGCTAACAATTTATTACAACTAAGAGCATGTTGAAGCCTGATATTGAAGTTATATTGAATACCCTGCTAAAGTCCTTTGATTCTGTATTTTAATTCTATTAAAGCACAGTTTCTGGGAAATGTACAAAGAATTTTTGTGTGTAACCCCCAATTCATTATTTTATAGTTAAGTGTAGTATAAATCCAGGAAACACACTCCTACATATGGGGATTATCATGTATAAATTTGTTTGAAAATAATTGTACTGTTCTTGTGAAATTTATAAAGCAATCTGTTATAAACTAAATCATACATCTTTCAAAGCCATCCTTCTGAAATCAGCTGACAAAGTTAAACTCTATTTTTCCAAGATTCTTTATCTTTTGACATGTTACCATCTTTCTATCTCTGATTATATTAGAGATTTTGTGAAAACAGCTTGCAAAGTTATTACCTTGTGATTTTGGTACATGTACTAATATCTGTATTATCCATTTTATTCCAACACCAAGTGAATTTCAGATAATTTCTTCAGATTGTCCTTCAAAATGGGTCCTAAGTAAAACCTTACTTTTCAAATTATCTATTAAGAGATATACTACAAAATAGAAATAAATGTATTTTACTTAGTATATGTATGGAGAATTTTTGTTCTCTCAATCTACTGTTTTTAGAAGTCATATGTTTGGGGCTGGGTACAGTGGCTGACGCCTATAATCTCAGCACTTTGGATGGCCAAAGTAGAAGGATCACTTGAGCCCAGGAGTTTGAGACCAGCTTGGGGAACCTAGTAAGACCCTGTCTCTACAAAAAATAAAAGATTAACTGAGTGTAGTGGTACATGCCTGTAATCCTAGCTACTGGGGAGGCTGAGGTGAGAGGATGGCTTGAGGTCAGGAGTTTGAGGTCACAGTGAGCCGCGGTGATTGAATAACTGCATTCCAACCTGGGCCACGGAGCAAGAATGTCTCTTAAAAAAAAAAAAAAAAAGAGTAACATATTTGGGCTATTAAGCTAGGCCATAAAGAAGGCTGAATGATATCCTCCATTTATTCAGATTGTCAAGAAACTCCAAAATTTTTACTGGCTTCTAAAAATAAAGCTAAATTCTAAGAAAGTGTATATGTATAAATTGTATATATGTGTGTATATATGTTTATAAGCATGTATATATGTGTATGCATATTATCTATATAGCTCTGTGGAAGAAACACACTTGGGTATCAATTATTATCAAAATTCCTTATCCAATAATACATCATTAATTTTTATTAGCAGTCCAGGATTTGTCTAGCATCTTGTTTAACATTTGAAAATAAAAACATAAACTTTTTGGTTCTCAAGGATAGTGCTATTAAAAGAAAATCTTGAACATCAGTGGTTAGTAATTTTTTCCTTACAGAACAAAAACTTTTGAAATTTCATTGTGGGACTTAATCTATTTATATTCCTAAAACTGAGAATAATTAATGTACTTGAGATCCTTGCATGCTAGTATACATTCATAAGGTTCTGCTGTTCTCATAAAACAATTTGACTAGCAAACATATTCATTACAGTTTCAAAAGAAAACACCCTATTTGACTCACCAGAAAAAGCTTTGTGATCTATATCCTATTATTTCTGCTGCTGCTGCTGAGCATGGAATACATTTGGGGTTGAAACAGGAGATAAAAGAGATAGATTTATTAGGGGAATACCAACTTTTATGGCTCCCCTGCCCCACCAGCTAAAATTAGCAAGTCAGTGAAAGAACTGCAAAAGAATGTAAAGAGGAATATTTCCTGTACTACTGTAGAAATTTTAGAGATTAAAAACCCCTACGTAGGATTTGTTCTGTACCTTTTGAAGAATGAATGACTCCCCCTCCCATCTATTTTCCAATTTTATAGTAAAAACTGGCTTTATAATCAGAATCTAAAATTTTCTTTTGGTGTAAAAAATAGTTTTGCATTTTATGGAAACAATTGTCCTTTTTAAAATTAATCACATATATAATTGAATGTATTGGTTGAATATAAGAAGAAAAGGTTTAAGGATTAAAGCATTCAAAGAACATTAATTTGGTGGAATTTCAATCAATGTTATGCGATCATGTCAGAGGTGAACCCTTCTTTTACCAAAATTCCCAAAGTGGATCCATATTTTATAAAATTTGATACCAAATAAATTATGTTATAGGAGGATTTCAACATTGTCTTAAACATTGGAAAAAAATTTAATATAGTCAAATTACATGAAAAGGCAAGAATATTGATCATGTTGATGGTATTTCTAATATTCAGAAAATGTTATAAAAAAGAAATATAAATACTATTCAGATTTTGAAAACCATGGCGGATGAAAAAATAAGGAGTAACAGTTACAGATGAATGAAAAATTAGACAAAAGCATATTAAATGACAATATGGCAAAGCAAAAAATAGAATTAAATCATTAAGATTAAAATAGTATACTGTTGTAAAATATGTGAAAGTATTAAAAGTATTATAATTAAAAGTGATTCTTATCCTAAATATTAAAATAAATATCAAATAATATGAAACATAACATCTAATAGTTTGATAAGGAAAAATAACACAAAGCAGAGAAAATAAAAGACACCTCACTATTCCCAATGTGGTTATTATTTATGGAATGGATAAAACATATTGTAGAAAAGGTCATTACAGTTAGATTAGCACATAAAAAACCAACATGCCACATCTACCTAAATAATTTTGTAGAACAGCTGAAAAAGCAAATTTTATCAAATTTAGACAGCTTATAGTGGAATAACTGAGTATGGTGTGGTATTAACTAATCCTAAGTTTCACAACGGGCAGCTTCTAGCCGTTTTGTTGAAGCTGGATCTCGGCCACACAAGGATCACTGGACAAGAAATCAGTTGAGCTGGACTAGAGCTGCCCAATTGTCTTAATAATGAATGCTCCTCACTGTCTGTTAAGTAAAGAGAAAATATAGATCAGGAACACTGAATAGAAAAAAAAAGATAAGTTAGAACAGATGAGTGCAGACCATCAATCAACATTCACTAAATATCTGCAGAACTTTGGTACCAATTAAATTAAAATGTTAAAAAGTGAGAGGCTGGCAATTAGGAGGGCCCCTGGACTCAGGAAAAGCTTGTTTCTGCTGAGAGCTTAGAATCGATATTAAACAGTCTCTAGTCTAGTGTTAACAGTATAAATGTTTGGTAAATAAAACGACAGATGGGTCAGCACAGATTATAAGTTACAACATTTCCTTCTCTTAGGTGGGTCTTAAAAACTTGTTTTTAAAAGAGGAATTGTGTTTTTGGCAGGAGGCTCTTCAGAAAGTTGTCCAAAACCCAAAAGTATCCTTTAAGTGGGCATAAGTAGGACAGGCATATAGGTACTTAAGCTGTATAATTCAGAAGAACTTCACATACCTGTGTCATCTGGCATTTTTATTGTTGTTGTTATTGTTAATACTAGTTTGGGTCAAAGAATCAACCTAGTTACTACTACCTTTTCGGCAATTTAGGCCTAAGCCAGCTCCTAATTTAGGGAATCAAGCTGTCCTAAGACATATTTTAAATTTTCGATAGGCTCAAAATTTTCCATATTTGTTCTGCTATCTCTAGAGCAGTGCGTCTAATAGAACAGTCTATGCTGATGGGAATGTTTTATGTCTACACTACCAAATATGGTGGCCACTAGTCACATGTGGCTATTTAGCATTTGAAATGTGGTTAGTTGCAACTCAGGAACTGAATTTTTAATTTAATTTAAAATAAAAATTAAATAGCCTCATGTAGCTAGTGGGTACCATATTGGAGACAGCATGGCTCTAATGGCTCAACTTTGTTGGGTTTGCTAAAACTAAACTCTACAGACTGGCTTAAATTTCCCTGGCCTGTTTAATACTGTCCAGTACCATTTACTAATGTTCATAGCTGTATTCCCAGTATCTAGAATAATGACAAGCACAAGGTAGGTGCTCAATAAGTATTTGCTGAATGAATAAAATCTATTATGACAATATACAGCTATTCATACCCAGTTAACTACTTATAGGTTATTGGCTGTAACCTGATGAACACTGGTCCTCCCAGGTGAAATAGAGATATATGAAGTTAAACTGTTTTATGTATGTGACATTACTTGGTTAAAAGCTCAATGTGCTAGAGAGAACAGGGACCAGCACTAACTTCAGTATATTCATATATTAATAATTTAGATTGATAAGTATGGTAAAACTGGAGAGAATATATATCACTCTGTTGCCCAGGCTGGAGTGCAGTGGTGTGATCTCAGCTCACTGCAACCTCCGCCTTCCAGGTTCAAGCAATTCTTGTGTCTCAGCCTTATAAGTAGCTGGGACTACAGGTGCATGTCACCACGCCTGGATAATTTTTGTATTTTTAGTAGAGATGGGGTTTTGCGTGCTGCTTAGGCTTGTCTTGAACTCCTGACTTGAGGCAATCCACCCACCTTGGCCTCCCAAAGTGCTGGGATTACAGGCATGAGCCACCGTGCCTGGCCGGAGAATATATTTAATGGTAAGGGTGTGGCTAACAGTTGATGAGAGTGATAAGAGGAGAAAACTTAATGTCAGATAAAAAGCTAAATTCAGATTTTATGTATGACTAAAAGATGGAGAGTGAAGATGTAGAAGTTTTGAAGAAATGTATAGTAATCCTAGGCGGGGCACGGTGGTTTATGTCTGTAATCCCAGCACTTTGGGAGGCCGAGGCGGGTGGATCACCTGATGGATCAGGAGTTCGAGATCAGCCCAGCCAATATGGTGATAGCCCATCTCTACTAAAAATACAAAAATTAGCTGAGTGTGGTGGCACACGCCTGTAGTCCCAGCTACTTAGGAAGCTGAGGCAGGAGAATCGCTTGAACCTTGGAGGCAGAGGTTGCAGTGAGCTGAGATCCTGCCACTGCACTCCAGCTTGGGTGACAGAGCAAGACTCTGTCTCAAAAAAAAATATATACATATATATATATACACACATATACATATGTATATATATGTGTGTGTGTGTGTGTGTGTGTATATATATATATATATATTCCATATATATATATATATATATATATATATAGTAATCCTATTAGGCAGTAATGTAACTTTGAAAAAGGATTTGGCAGTGGAGAGGTAAATTAATAAAGCTGACCTTTGAACAACATGAGTTTGAACTGCATGGGTATACTTATATATATGAAGTTTTTTTTTTTTTTTTTTCCTGAGACAGGATCTCACTCTTTCATGCAGGCTGGAGTGCAATGGTGAGATCTTGGCTCATTGCAACCTCTGCCTCCTGGGCCCAAGTGATTCTTGTGCTTAGCCACCTGAGTAGCTGGGATTACAGGCATGCACCACCATTCCTGGCTAATTTTTGTATTTTTAGTAGAGACAGAATTTCACCATGTTGGCCAGGATGATCTCAAACTCCTGGCCTCAAGTGATTCATTCACCTTAATCTCCCAAAGTGCTGAGATTACAGGCATGAGCCACCGCACCTGGCCACTTATATGTGAAGTTTTTTCAATAAATATATGAGAAAATTATTTGGAGATTTGTAACAATTTGAAAAAACTTGCAGATGAGCTGTACTGCCTGAGAAATACTGAAAAAATTAGTAAGGCATTTTTAAAGTTAGGTATGTCATGAGTGCATAAAATATATGTAGGGTCATTCTATCATTTACTACCATAAAATATACACAAATTTTAAATAAAAAGTTAAAATTTATCAAAACTTCTGCATATAAACACAGACCATACATGGGCCATTTGCGGTTGAGAGAAATGTAAACAAATGTAAAGATGCAGTATTATATCATAACTTCATAAAATTTACAGTAGGTTCATACTGTACTACTATAAAAATTTCATAGCAACGTCCTATTACTATTGCAGTATGCTCAAATGATGAGCTCAAGTATTGTGTCTGCTTAAAATACTATGTGATGATAATCATCTCTGTGTGAGCAGT